AGGGACATTAGATGCATTCATAACAATACAAAGAGATAAGACCCGATGGGTGATAAAGACAGGCATAAAATAGCATAAATTTAAGAGGGTGGGTGTACCCAGATAACTTGAAAGTGAGGAAAATTTGAGCCGAGTCTTGGTTCAGAGGTATTTGGGGTGAGAGAGATTTCATGAAGATGAAAACTGGGGAGGTGCAGGGTGCAGGCGAGGGTTCCGTGTGTCTGAAGGTCAAGGTGTGTATAAGGAATCAGCCAGAGGAAAGGCCGAGAGAGCTGAGGTGTCCAGGCCCTGCCGAGCAGTGGACAGGCCACAGCTGAGGGAAGCAGCTTCGAATAGGAGCTGGAATGAGCTGAGGGAGCCTTAAGGCGCTTAATCGACAGCGGCAGATAAAAGATTAGATGGAAGAGAGATTGGAAAGCACTTAAGAGGCTATTGGAACAGCGCAGGCAGCAGGGATGAGTCGAAACAGCGGATGTCGCGGGATGAAACATGAAGTCGACTCAAAAGATTTTAGCAAAGGATCTCAAGTCACTCAGTTTCTCCAGAAGCCAGAGAAAGGGAGGCAGGATTTTCTCCCCCACCCCTAAATCACATTTGCTATTTTGGAAAAAAAAAAAAAAGATCAAGTTTTCATGACATACTTTAAGAATGGAACATGTCACAAGACTACTGAATTGTTCCTTGGGTGCTTCTGAATTTACTAATTAATTTACTAATCAATTACTACTAATGCTATTTTTTTAAAAAAAGTGTTCCCTAATTTGTAAATGACAACTTTGATTGAAAAAACGATACATATGCAAAGTAAACTTCCTAACACTTGAGAAATGAAAATTCAGTCACTGCACGGACTCTGTCCTGTGGTCTTTTTTTTTTTTTTTTTTAAGAGGTTTCTGGTATAGGCGCGTGGGCTTGCCAGAGAGACAGAGAGAGACAGAAGGTGAGAAATCCCCTCCCCCCCACCCCGCTGGGGGGGATGGCCACGCCGCAATCCCTTCTCTTCCATTCTCCTGAGATCTTGGGCATGCACACACACGCGCCCCGCATGAGTTAAAGCCACTGGGTCTGGGACTTGAACTGCGGTCGACTACATGGGCGTTCAGCGACATAGCCATTATGCTAACTGCTGATCCCTGTCTTGTGTTCTTGAGACAGCTCTTCTTTTGCTTTCTAAGATGCTCAAAATGCTCTCTGCATTAAAAGCCTACATGGAGGGAACCAGCAGTTAGCATAATGGCTATGTTGCTGGACTCCTACGTAGTTGACCGTGGTTCATGTCCCGGACCTGGTGGCTTAAAACTCACGCCAGGCGTGTGTGCGTTCGTGCCCAAGATCCCGAGAGGAGAATGGAGAAGAAGGGATTGCGGCGTGATCATCCCCCCTGGGGGGGTGATTTCTCGCTTTCTGTCTCTATGTCTCTCTCTGTCTGTCTGGCGAGCGCATACGCCCTGTAGCGAAAACCTCTCCAAAAAAAGAAAAAAAGCCTACATGCATACATATGAGGAGTGTTCCAACAGTCAGTGAAAAATGTGCATGATGAAAAAACTATGGATACATTCCATTTTTTGTGTGCCAAGATAAGCTCATTCTTTTCACTCCATTTTCCATGAACTTTTGGAAGTCTCCCTGTGTATCTTCTGTCTTCTGACCCAGTATGCTTTCATTCTGTCTTTGGATTTTTTTTCTTCTCGGCTTCCACAATGGTTTCTCAGCCTCAGCACCATTGTCATTTGGGGTTTGAGAAGCCTTCATTGTGGGGAGTTGTCCTGTGTGTTGTACACGTTTACCGAGATCCCTGCCCTCTTCCCGTTAGTACCAGCATTTTCCACAACGAAGAAGAGCTGCGGTGACAGCTAAATGTTCCCTGGGGGGGTGCGGGAGAAGGGGCAGATCATCCTGATTGAAAGCCACTGAGTAACAAGGCCAGCCAGCAGGCCGTGTGGTGGTGAAGGGCACTAGACTCCCACATGGCTGGCCACGGTTTGAGTCCCAGACTTGGCAGGTTGCCTTCTCACTGTCTCTCTCTCTCTCTCTTTCTCTCTCACTCTGATCCTCTCTGGTCACATTAAAATAAACAAATTAATAAAGTTAAGTAAAATAATTCTTGAAAAAAAAAATGCTATCAGTCTTCCTTTTATCAAACCCAGATGTTATCTTTTTTCTGCCACAAATCTACCCACTATTCTAGATGGGGCATCATATTAAAATCACTTCTTTGTTTTTATGACATGGTACTTTGCTCATAGGACTTAATTCACCCACAGTCGTTTAACAAAATGAAAAGATAGTATGTAAGATGACTAATGTCACGCATGTGTCTAAACACAAGACTCTCATGTCTACAGTAATAACCAAATGCATGCTGCAAATACCTTTCCTTGGGTACTTGTGGGGATTCTTCAGGGATATACACACTTTAACTGTCAAGGTTTTCAACTTGTTTGGAGAGTAAAATACCAGCCATGTGAAAAGGATTCCAACCACGTAAGAGCATATGTTGTCCAAATAAATGATGCGGAAATGCTATCCAATTCAGAGGAAGCAGAGAAGCAAGTTTTATAGCGTAACATAGTTTTTAATAAATGAGTTACAAGTCAGGTGTGTGTGCGTGTACGTGTGCATGTGTGTGTGTGTAAGACAGAGAGAGAGAGACTGAGAGAGAGAGAGAGAGAGAGGGGAAGGATGCGTTCCACATGCTGGAAATACAAAGACTCTAGCACAACTAATAATATATGAATCAAAGGTTTCCTACTGAAAGTGCGAACAGTTTGCTTCAGATTTTTTATCAGATGATTCTGGAGACCTGAACTGAATGGCGTTTAAGAACAGTAAATCCTAGATTTCTTATTGATGCTATCAGGAGGCAAATGTTGTGAGAAATGTAATTTATAAGGTGGGCCCAAAGACCCTCGTGGCATCTTCCCTCATTTAGCTGTTGTAGCTGCATCACTTTTGTGCCAGGCACTGCAGATGGAACTGTATGAGAAAGGTTCAATTCTCATGGAGGTTTGATCAAACGGATACTTTGCATACAGGACGTATGAATTCTCTGGAAGTTTCTAGTGTTATTTCAAATCTCTCAACCATCTGCATTCATAATGCGTATTTACGGTCTACTGTCTGTGTACACAGTAAAGGCAATTAAATGTAATCTTATAAACCTTCCCAATATGTCAGAAATTATAAGCTACACTGACCACAATAATTGATTTGCCACTGCAGTGCTACTCCCTGAGGACTGAGAGGTAGCGGATATTCTACTTGTGTGAAATAACTGTGTAGATGTTTGGGTGAGACAGTGAGGGATCGCTAATCAAAGTGAAAATAGAGCTATGTTAAGAGAGCAGAATGTAATTACCCCGTTGGAACTGGGCCAGTGTGGAAAGACAGATTCTTTCAGTTCCTAGGGAAGAGGGTATTAGAACTTTCAATTACGCTACGCTTCCGTTATGAATATTTTTCTGACTCAGGCACAAAGATACCATATTACCGTTTGAATTTCCACCACTCCTACCTTCTTGACAACCCCACTGGAGAGTTCAGAGCCCTGGAAGCTTGTATATGAGCCATGAAAACATTTACTCAGGGCACACTCATTTCTCTTGTGTGGACAGGAACATTTATATAGCAGACATTTAGAAAAGCTCTCTTAGTGCTTACGGCTGTAAGCCCTCTCCACACAGGGTGGAACTGTGGTACCAAATACATCAGTATCAGTGTGTTGCTAGAAGCCCAGCACTGTTTAGAAAACAATCAGTAGATCTTGGGTCTGGGAGGGGAAGGGCTTTTTGATCACAAACTCCTTAAGAATTTCTTGAAAGTGATGGCCCTCTCTCCTCACCTTGTTTCTCTTGTTCATTCTCTCACTTGTGTGTGCAAGATCCCCTCACCCCTTCTCCCCCCACACACATATGCCATTTCAGGGGTAGGGAAATCAACTTCTCTGAACTCAACCCGAGGGCTCTCACATTCTAGGTTTAGGAGCTGTAGTGTGGTCAGCTTGATTTTCTGTAGGCTGCTGCTTTAGGGAGACACACTAGATTCTGTCCTGTAATACATGAACAAGCTGAAGCATCTTCTATCGCTTTAGCACCCTCTAGGTGGAGGGCTGGATTCAATAACTTGCATATAAGGAGACCTTAGATCGTAAAGTTCATTTATCTTAACATATATCTGTTTTATCTCATCAGGAAACCAACCCTATCTTATTTTCTCTCTTCCATAAAAACGATAGAAAACAATCATTATGTAAGGTTACATACTAAGCTTTAAGCTCACTGTTGCCTCTTTTCAATGATACATGTCTTGGGAATGGCCATTTAAAAACGCATCCCAAAGTATTTTACATGTTCTAAAGGCTTTAATGTTATTTACATTTTATGATTTCTTTTTTTTACTCTGCATAAATTAGGCTCCCTGAATCAAACAATGCAACTGGATTTTTTCCTCCCTTGGGATACTTAAAATAAATCACTGAATACCCCAAAGTGCCAGATGTAGTTTGAAGCTACTTCTTCGAAACCGCAGTGTTTTTTTAAATTGAATACTCAGGAAAATGGGGCATTATCTCGCTGGATACTCTTTATTCTTCAGAAAGAATCCTCGGTCTCAAGGCAGGCATTCATTTATCCTTTTTCTGTCTTTCCCGATGATTTATTACAATGGAATATATTGAGATGTTCAATGAATACATTTATTGATCATGGCCTCTATAAGACATTATGTCAAAGAGGATGGGGAATTCAAAAATATATAAGACAGATTTTCTGGAGAATATGATCTACTATCAAAGCTAAGACACAGTCCAGATAATGTAAATTTAACATAATGACTATACTTGTAGTTTTTCTTGTAGAAGTTAAAAATTTCTGTCTAGATTTATTTGGCAAGTGGAAATTCTATTTTACACCAGAACTCCATAGTAAATAGAGATTTAATATCATCATTTAAGAAAGCTTTTACAGAATAACATTTTTACAAATTAAATGTTTATTTCTTACCAGACAGGGCTGTTAAATTTGCATTTTTGATGAAAATTTCAGTTACTCCAAGAGCCTTCAAAATCTCTTTTAAATCAATTTCCTGTTCCACTGTGAACCTGGAGAACATACAGGGGAAACGGATTTAGTTACAATGTCTTGGCTGGGACAAGAATAACATGTCAGATATGTTGATTTTTAAAGGCTGTTTTGCAGAGGGTAAATGATGTGAAAACTGATTTTGGACTGCAAATAGCATTTACATGTGCTTATAAAAGAGGGGCATCCAAGACAATAATAAGACAATAGGGTTGAAGCTCTTAAATAGGAGAGGGATGACATAAGCAGGAAACTGCAATCTATGGTAGAGCAGATGAGGTCAGGCAAGGTTGTCCTGATACTAAGGAAAGGATGGAATTGAGTAGCTTTTAAAATCTTCCGACCTACGACGTATAATGTTGAACTCTCAAGGCTAGCACTGATGAATATTATGTTTACCCAGGTATTGCATCTTCTTCTTAGAACCCTGGTCAGCGTATGCTGCTCACCTTCGCCCCAACCCAGGCCCCTCAACTGGACGGGGTTTAATAAGAAGCAAGTTCGGCTGTATAATGAATAACTTTAGCATTTTAACTTGATGTAATGCAAAAGAAGGAAATACAGATCTATCACATTAAAAATACATCTTCCTGGTTATAGAAACCTCTAGAACATAAGCCTGTGCTTATGATAGCATCACGAGAAAACTATCAATCAATACAAGGGTTAAATATTACTTCTTAAAAACTATGTGCTTTTATAATTAGAGGTTTTTTTTAAAAAATAAAATAGGTCTTTTTTTTTTTTTACCTTAACGGGCATTATGAGTTAACAGACAGAAATGTGTACCATCTTTGTAAGAAGAAATAAGACATTGTTTAATAACTTTGACAAAAGTAAGTACAGTGGTCATAAATAGAATATAAATTTTAAAATGATGGTTTCTCCAGGAAGCCAGAATGATTCTGGAATATAGAATCTCTCAAACCAATGAATTGTAGCACCAATCTTTCTAACAAAAGACAGGGATAAACATGCTTCCATCAAAACATATTTTTTTTTTATTTCATTTTCTTTTGTACACTCAATCATGTTATTTAGCTTACAAAGTGGATTTTTCAACATGTGAACATTTCTCCCTAGTCCAGTTGATAAAACTATAAAATTATCTTCAACAGATAATACCACATTTCTTTGTCCCATTAATGCTTTGCCTATTTTTCTTCTAAATGTCCTTCCTCAAACACATTTGTAAAAAGAAAACATGTTTATTACTTTTTTAAAAAAGGAAAAACTGGTTAGAACTAAAGGCTTTCTTTGACTAAGCTGTTGCCTCCTAATCAGTATAAAGAGAAAATAGAAATCCTTAGGCAAAAGGTGGTGTCTTAAAAAAACTGTGTCTGTGATGGCCCCTGAGTTACATCAGCATCCTTTCTGACATCTGGGTGTAAGAAGATGAACGAGATGAAAATGATGGCTGGAACTAAGACTTACGCTTACTTCCTTACCAGGATCCATTCCAACGGTATAAAAGATGGATTAACTTAAATATCACAACAGCCCTTTGAATTAGGTATTATTATTATTATTATCCTTAGGAAATAGGAGGAGAAACTGATGGCTGAAAGATAAAATAACTTGGCCAAGGTCATACGGTTAATAAATGGCAGAACAGGGATATGAATCAAGGTAATATTAGATATATCCTGATCCTATGAAAGCAAAGCAAGATATCAGTAAGGGCTTCTTGCTTCTTCTTCTTTTTTTTTTTCCCCAAATTTTTAGAGAGATTTATGCTATAGGGCATTTGTGCTCACTGAAGAGACAGAGAGACACAAAATGAGAAATCTACCCCCCCCTCCCCCGCCAACCCAGCCAGGGGGATGACCAGGCCACAATCCCTCCTCCTCTATTCCACTCTTGGGATTTTGGACATGCATGCACAAGTGCCCAGTGTGAGCTTCAAGTCACTGGGTCTGGAACTCAAACTGTAGTTGACCATGTAGGAGTCCAGCAATGTAACCACTATGCCACCTGCTGGTCCCTTCTTGGTTTCACACTCTTGTGGCAAGCTTGTCAGATGAGAAGGCGTTATTTATCCAAGTGAACACGGGTAAATTCCTTAATTTCTGAGCCTCTGTTTTAGCATGTAAAAATGGCAATAATGATAATATCTATGTCACAGCACTGATGTCAGTATTAAATACAGCTTCTGAAAGTCTTAAGATGGTGCGAGCATGAGGATGCATTCAATGGAGGGCAGAAAGAATACCACTTATTTTATCGCAATCATGTATAATGTCACATTATTATCAATGTTAAGGTGTATATGTGCACTCTTTATTGGACTAGTCTTGTTAAATAGCTATAATAATTCCTGCTACTTTAACCATAAATTAGTGGTATCTAGTGTCTTGTTCATTCTAATATTTATAGTATCTGGCTCAAGTACTATGCAAAAAAGCCACATAAGTTAAAGTGAAAACAGTCTAAGTTTTTTTTTTTTTTTGGAGAGGTTTTTGTTATAGGGTACATGCGCTCACCAGAAAGATAGAGAGACAGAGAGACAGAAAGTGAGAAATCACCCCCCAGGGGGAATGGCCATGTCACAATCCCGCCTCCTTCATTCTCCTCTCAGGATCTTGGGCACGCACGCACACGTGCCTGGTGTGAGTTTTAAGCCACCGGATCCGGGACTCAAACTGCGGTCTACTGCATGGGAGTCCAGTTTCCAGCGACTGGTCCCAAAACTCTAGATTTTTGTTCAAAGTTGAAAACAAGATGTAAATAATATCCACTTGTCCATTCCTTGTCTTTTTTTTCTTACTAAACTATTAAAAATACCTATTATTCAATTATTACATCTTCCCTCTTAATGCAAACTAAAATTGATATAAATAATCATTGTCGTGTCTCCTACGTTGAGTGCTTACTATGTTTCAGTCACTATGCAAATCCTTTCATGGATAATGTCTCATTTAATCATTCCCATGTTGATACCAAACAATCCTAGGAGAAAGGTATCCCTTCTAGGCTACAGAAGGACAAACTAAAGTTAAAGAGGCCAAGCAGCTTTCCCTGATCATACAAGGAACAGGTATTAAAATGAGGATAGGAACTACGGCCTCTGCTTGCAATGCCCCTCTGTTCCCCATAACTAATCACCATAATTTCAGCAATAGATTTTTGAAAAGAAAAACAATCCCAAGTAACTAACATGCATCTTTAACTGGCTGGCCATTATAGATGCATCCCATACATTGAATAAACACATGTCATGCATTAAGAAACAAAAAGAAAAGGAAAGGACCAGCAAAAGGTGTAATAGTTATGTTGCTAGACTCCCAAGTAGTCGACTGCTGTTCGAGTCCCAGACCCAGTGACTTAAAACTAATGCTGGGTGCATGTGCATGTGTGCGTGTGCGTGCGTGACCAATATCCCAAGAGGAGAGTGGAGGAGGAGGGACCGTAGTGTGGCCATCCCTCTAGGGGCGTGATTTCTCACTTTCTGTCTCTCCATCTCTCTCTGTCTCTACAGCAAGTGCATGTGCCCTACAGCAAAAATCTTTCTCAAAACAAAACAAAACAAAAAAACAAAACCCAAAAACTATGGGTGGAGTTTTTTTTAAAAACTTCTGTACCAAAATAAACTTAAACTTTGATTCAAATTTCCATAAATTTTTAAAGCCCGCTTGTATGCTTCATGCACTTTCCTGATTGTACTACACAATAAATAGTATAATAAAGGCAAAAAATAAAAAAGAAATGAAAACAACATTAGGAAAGACCAATCTTACATTTCTCTTAATGCGAAAATTCAAAACATGGCTTTTAGAAAGTCAGAAGGTATGTCATTATTCATATTCAATTTTCTACCTGAACACGTTGCAGCAGTATGCTGAGGGCAGAAGCATAGAGACTGAAGAGATGTGCGAAGCCAGTGTTAGAAAAGAACAAACACATCCCATGTGCAAGATTATAAAATTTATAAGAATTAAGAAACTGATCAGTGTCAGGCAAGTTAAAACAGTCCTAAACAACTTTTCATCCTTACTGAACTGAAACATTGGGAGACACTGCCATTAACTCATGAAATTTAATAAGGGAAGTGTTATTAATTCATTTCTCATATTATCAAAAGAGTTTCCTACAAAATGCAAAAAAAAATGATAAAAGTCATCAGAGAAGTGATAACGTGAACTAAATATTTTACAAATTTAGGCCTGAGGTAGATAGTCACTTGAATTTAATTATTAATATTCAAAAGTAAATTGTCCTTTGCAGTTAGGAGAAATTGTTTGTATATTAAAAATGTAACAGTCAATTATCATACATTAAACAAAACTTGGCTTTTGTGTAGGTATTCATTCTCCTGAGAATAGACTTCTAGTTCATCTTTCTACATAAATGCATTGTCATGGGAAGTAATGAGTAGTAAATATCTTAGTACCCCCACCTCCCCAAACCAAACATTTGGGTTCTAATTACCTTAATTTTTATATGTAGACTAAAAATATCTGACTAAATATTGTGTATAATTGTGTTAGGAATATATAACATTGTTACATGATGAATATATAACACAACAATTTTCTAGACAAAAATATCGACAGTTCCAAATAGATGTCTTCCATCACATAAGCCTATCATCAGCTAAAGTTCTGGAATAAAAAATGAACTTTTAAATGTCGTGTCCTATAATTAGAATAAACAAAATGAGGTTTCAATAACTCAGCATTAATAATAATGTCTTTCAATGCTCATAGTAATTCATTACATTTAACCAAATTTCTTAACATAGAATGAGAATTAAAACTGTATTCCTACCTGTACACACATACATTTACCTGTTGTTCATTGCTATGTTTTTTTCAACCTAAAATCTACACATTCTGTTTACAAACATGTTGTATGCGTCTACTGGTCTAGCTCCACTACTGGTGGTAAGATATTCAAGGGCTGAATAAATATATTCAGCGGAGTTTCATTTTGCAAGTGCTTGTTGTACACCTATGTGGGAGACAGAACTGACTCTACCCTAGAAGAACTTCCGGAAAGAAAGCAAGACCCACAACAGGTAATGTCATTGTGGGCTTTTAACAAGTAATAACAGGGGATGCCTAAATGAGACAAACAGAACGGTCCCCTCTCCATCAGGGGATTCATGGAAGGCTTCCAACAGGATTAGTGCCAGAGTCCAGCCCTAAAGGCCAAGTGAACAATATCAGGCAAAGAAAGGTCAATGCAAGGACATACATGGAAACTCAGAGGCATGGCAAGAGGACGATTTATGAGGCACACCAGAAGCACATGAATAGTACATGCTATGGAATGTCCATCGTTATGAGGGACCAGAGCTGGGGTTGAGGAAGTAGAATGAGGCAGGAATTAAAGTCCTTGTATGGATTTTATTCTTCCAGCTACAGGAATAATTTTGTGCAGAGTTGCATCTTCCTGCTAATTTTTGGACAGATCTTAGTCCCCAGAACAGATACTTACAGGTCTCCTAACAATATTGGAGATTATTTTCTCTCAAGCTATAATCAACTTCAAATATTAACAAAACACAGAGGACTGTGAATGCAAACTATAATCAGGGACAATGGATTGAACAATTTCCTAAAACAAAGCTAAGAATATTGAATCATATCTGAAATTAGATCTCGGCAAGTTGTACTAAATGAATCAGTAAGTGAGGATGTGTCTGTGGGTAGGACCACGTGAAAATGAAAGAGTAGGAGGAGGAAGAAAAGGAGGAAGAGAAGGAAGAGGATCAAGAGGAGGAGTAGGGAGTAAATTCAGAAGCTGGGGAAGAGTTTTTCTGGTCAGATCTTCATCAACAGCCCTTCCTCCATGCTGTGGGAGGGGTCACACATGAGTCTCTCACCTGGGCAGGTATACTTCGACTTTTTGCCTCTTCACAGAGTTTGCCCATTCTTCAATCAGCTGTGCTTTGACCAATGGCTCCAGAGTGGCCAGTGGAACTTCCTGTCTGGACAGAACCAGCATCATGCTTATCTCATCTCCCTCATACGGTATTTCTAGGACTTGGTAAATACCACCAGCCTCATTGGAGCCATCACTAAATTCCCCTGAAAAGGAAAGAAAGGCCATAAGAGGCCGAGACCAAAGTTTTAAAGATTTAGATTTGTTGTAACTATATTCTAAAGTTGTCTATAAAATCAAAGACATGTAAGCATCTGAGAAAAAGAGGGTTTATTTGAAAATAGTTCCTGAAATTCAATGTATCTTCAGTTCTGCAAAATTTATTTTATTTTCAAATTCCAATTTTTTTTACATTCATCATAACATAATCTTTAGAATTACATTTTATTTTTACTTGAGATAATTCAATATAAAGGATATTATTAGAAACAATGAAAAGTCCTGCTTAGAAAAATAAAGCCCAGGCTCCCAGTTGGGTGCAAGTCACATTTATGGATAGACACTTGATTTCTTCCTTCTTCTTTTTCTTTTTTTCTTTTTTGGAGAGTTTTTTTTGCTATAGGTAAGTGCGCTCACCAGAAAAATAGAGAGACAGAGAGACAGAAAGTGAGAAATCACCCCCCCCCCAGGGGATATGGCCACGCCACAATCCCTTATCCTTCATTCTTCTCTTGGAATATTGGGCATGCATGCACACACGCGTGACGTGAGTTTAAGCCACCAGGTCTGGGACTAGAACTGCAGTTGACTACATGGGAGTCCAGCAACATAGCCATTATGCCATCTGCTGGTCCCAACACTTGATTTCTAAGAAGGAGAAATTTGACCATGTAATACCTGGTAATTTGTTACCACCTCAATGACAAGTTTTGAGGTCAAGACTACATAGCCAAAAGGAAATGTGTTATATAATAGTTAGTGTATATGTGAGGATAAACATCTCCAAATCAGGGAAATAGGTAAGTGAGGTAATTTTGTGCTCTATGAACTTAGTCACATTGACTAGGAATATATCTGTATAATAAATATATTTGTGTATATACAGTGTGTGTGTATATATATATATTATTTTAAACATGTTATTCTTCTGCTACTTTAACATTTTACCTATTTTAAAAAAATATATGAGGAAACAACAGATAGTGTAATGGTTACATCATTAGATTCTCACATAGTAAACTGTGGTTCAAGTACCAGACCCAGTGGGTTAAAACTAACTTCCAGCATGTGTGCATGTGTGCCCAATCCCAACAGGGGCATGGACGAGAAGGAACTGTGGCATGACCATCCTTCCTGGTGGGTGCTTTCTCACTTTCTGTCTCTCTGGAGAGCACAGGCACCCTATAGTAAAAATCTCTCAAAAATTGTGTAATTTTTTAAAAAGAATTATTTTATTTAACTTTGTTTTTTATTATTATTACTTTCCAGTTTTATCAGAGAGGGACAGAGAAAGAGAGAGAGGGAAATTGAGAAAGTAAGCCACCAGGTCCAGGACTTGAGCCATGGTCGGTCATGTGAGAATCCAGCACCTTTGACCACCATACCACCTGCCAACCCCTGTGATATTCTTATTATGAACATTTTTTATAACTGATCTAGGTCCTTTAGCTACCCTACTAAACATTCTGGTTTTCATGTCAACGTCTATTTTCCTTTCTTATTTTGACTAGATTGAGTAACTGTTACGATAGTCTTTTATTATTACTGTCTATTTTTAAATAGAATAAGCTATTATTTCTAACATTTACTTGGCTTAAAAATCACATTTCTGCCCATGACTTCACAAATTATCACAATTCTATATAATGTACAGCAAGGAATGATAAACATCCTAAACTCGTGAGGAGTCCCATGAAACACTTTTGAAAATGATGCCAAAGACATTGAGTGGGATCATAAATGATAGGCTCTCAATAAATGAATCTATGAATGGACAAATTACATCTGGCCATTCATATCCAAGAATGAAATCAAAATTCTAAAGGATAAAAAAGTCCTTGGATGAGAATGTTCAAATCCGTTCTGTTGCTAATAACAGAGATACCTCCTGAGTCTGGGTAAGCTGAGACAATAGGAGTTTATTTAGTTTAGGGTTTTGGATGTCCAAGGTCAAGGGGTCATATCTGCTGACAATCTTCTTGCTGGTGCATGACAAGACAGAGCAGAATGTGTCTCTGTCTCTCGCTCTCACCAGGTCTCAATGTGCGAGTCCCACCCTGATGCCTAATCACCTCTCAAAGGCCCCACTTCTCAATACCATAATCAGAGTAAGTCTCCTTGTAACACCTTTGCAATTCCAAGATGTAAACTCTGGAGAAGCACAGTCACACCATAGCAGAGAAGAATGCTCATAATTCAAAAAGTGCTGAGGAGTCCAAACCAAGGGCTTCATAGAACTCAGGGCTCACTGAAAACCAGCCCGAAGCAAGTGATTGTTGGGAGTCAGTCAGGATGTTCTTGCACGTTGTTAAGCAGTTTCTGACGAATAAAGCCACTCTGCAGGTGTAATCAACTTTTCCTTTTTTTTTTTTTTAAATTATTGGACTGACAGGTGGTGTGGTGGTTAAAGGCGTTGAATTCCCACATGGCATATCACAGTTCGAGTACCGGACCTGGTGGTTTGCTTTTTCACTTTCCATCTTTCAATCTCTCACACTCTGTCCCCCTCTGGTCAAATTAAAATAAGTAAATTAATTTCATTTAATTAAATAATTCTTTTAAAAAAGTAATTACTTTATTTAACTTTATTTGCTTTAATTTTACCAGAGAGAGAGAGAGAAAAATCAAGCCGCCAGGTCCGGGACTTGAATCGTGGTCAGCTATGTGGGAGTTCAATGCCCTTAACCACCATGCCACCTGCTGGCCCCCAGGTATGATCGACTTTATAAATTAAAGAAACATTGGGAAACAGTCACCACATAGCATATACACTCAGTGTCTAGAGACCTTTGAAAATGAAGGGAAGGAAACTAAATTGCAGTCCAAATTAGACTGATAAGGAGTTTGAGAAATAAGCAGTTCAGTTTTTCTTTTTTTATTTTAATTTGTTAATATACTGCAAGAAAATGAAACAGAAACCAAATATCTTACCATAATAAAATTCTCCTTGCTGATACATCATTGGAATTTGGACTTCACTTTCATCGTCTTTAGTGAAGGAAAAAGTTCTAGTATTTTCAGGTCGAAATTGTGACTTCCAGTTCCCCTTGAAGTAGACAGCATTGATGAGGGCCAGGTGAGTGACAGCATCAAAATCTCTTGGGGATACCAAATCTTTTAACAGATCTATTTGGGAGAAAATGAACAGATGAAAATTCATATAAATTGGAAGGTGAAGGGGTATTGAAAATTTCCTGAACTACCATCTAACAGAGTGGTCCAGATAAACAGTATACCAAGTTTACAATAAAAATTTAAAGTATCTTTTTTCAAAGGAAAAAGCATGCATGCATACACACATACCCCCACACACACTTGCATAATTAACTATCAAGGGCACCCAGAATACCTATAGCACATAAAGTAATATTTGTAGCATCTTGACACTTAAAATAACCACAGAACCACACAGAGGTCGATTATTTTTCTTGATTTAGTCTTTGAATGTCACACAACTAAATATATTTCTTTTATCCCACATATTAATCTCATAGTTTGAGAACACAGCACCAAATTTTGCAATGTCGTCTCTCCTTTTATCAATCACATATACTCTGGTTTCTCTTCAGATCGCATAAATCTTTTGCCTTTTATCAATCACAGCACTTTATAAAATAGAAGTGCTTTGGGGTGCTTATTGGATGTCGGGTATCTAATCAAGCTGCTTGGTCTCAACACAGGAACTTAGGGGGAGTTTAAACAATACGACTTCATTTAATGAACATCTGTTTCCAGTAATTTTTCTGGTAAATTAGAAAACAAAATGTTAAAATAGGACACATTTAGAAATATTAAGGACATTTGAAAAATATGAACTAGAAATAAAATTTTTAAATAAATGCATCTAATTCTACTTCCTGTCCACTTATTTGGGCTTAAAAAAAAAGGCTGCTCTTTTTTAATGAGTCCTATACAATTTATTTAAATTTCTAGTCAAGATCTGTGGTTTAAAACCTGGTAACTATATTTAAAGCACCATTCCATACTACAGTTAAGATGAGTATCCAGAGAAAACGCATTAATCAGAGAGTACAGAGTTCAGGGTATCAGTGTCAAAATGTGATCCATTTCGAAATATTGAACTTCTTTCACAAATGTCCTTCATAAACAATGTTTCTAAAATAGACTGTATTCCATACAAAATAATTATTAGATACCCAACTACGTGCTATCTTCCAATAAGAATGCAAAAGGAGCCAGGAGACAAGTAATTTCAGAAATTAAAAAAAGGGTTCAAACTAAGCTATTAGAGAAAGAAAGGAACTAAGTAACATACGGTTTGTGTTATTCTCCACCCACTTATTGATGTGGTGGGCCACGGCTATATTCTGACTGAAGTCCACATGATCTACTTCTGCATTAAAGTATTTTTTCATCATTTGCAAAACCTCCTCATTAATATGAAATCCATTCTGCACGAAGAGGGAATTGGCGATTTTCATTACATAGTGGCTCTCTTCAGCAGTTACCATGTTAGAAAAATCCTTCAAGAAAGAAAATTCTTCTCCTAGAAGATGACAAAGGACAAGTGTATTAGTGGAACACGCATGGTGAAAGGTCTTAGGGCATGGAGGAGCACTAAAACACAGCAAGAAGATGAATAGAACAAGAGCCCGAGGAAAAGCTCCAGCCTTACACCTCACAGGGACACAGGGAGGAGATTCCAATCCTTGAACTATTTCTAGATGTTCATAATTACTTTTGGCAGCTTACCATGGTCAACTAAGACAATAATATCTTAAATTTTATTGTTATTTGACTAGGATTTACAGAGTAGCGGTTGTTCAAATCATTTTCTTTCAAAAAAGTACTCAGGTTACTTTCATTCAACTAATCTTACTTCATAACTATTATGAAGGATTAAGTTTAATGATCTAGTTTAAAATTCAAATTATTTCCTTAAATTTAACTCTCAGTAGTAGAATTTTAAAAATTCTTAGAACTAGTAAATCTATTCAAAATTGTTTTAGGTCTTAATTTTTAGTTTAATTGATTGGAGGGTACCTGTGCTCACCAGGGCAAGACAGACAGAGAGGGAGAGGGAGAAAGAACCCCTCAAAGGGGCATAACCATGCTGCAATCTCTTTTTCTCCATTTCCTTGTCCTGTCAAGATTTGGGGCACACTTGAACATCATCTGGTTTGCTTTTCAAGCCACCTGGGCCAGGATTGGAGTTGCAGTCAGTCACGTGAGATCCAACTTCCTTAACCACTAAGCCACAAGGCCAGCCCGAGGTCTTTATGTTTTAATGAGTTAATTCATGTGTATATTAGAAGCATTAAAATAGAGATCTTACATCGTGTCAAAGTAATTACAAAATACACTTTGGCTAGAAATTTTCTCTGATGCATATAATTTTATAATAATAAAGCATTCCCAAAATTCTTGGGTGGTATTTAAATGATGATGTAATTCATTTTTAAGCAAAAACATCTGATATTTTTAGACAGCCATGTTGCCGTTCTTTATAAGTGTATACATTGAAAAGTTCATGGAGAAATGAAATCAAAGTATGAGTTTATTTTGGTGCAAAAAAGTTTGGAAATCTACGCAGTTTTCTCATAATATGCATTTTCATGAACTTTTCAAAGACCCCTTGTCCTACTCATCACGGCTGTCATTTTTCATTTTCTTGTTTGATAATTGCTGAATAATTGCTTCTCCCCTAGACCAGAAACTCCAGAATCCTCTTTTCTTTGTTTATCACCGTGGGGTTTACTTAAATAATAATTTCGAAGTGGTGTAATTTCTTTAGATTCACTCAACCAGGAATGGAGCCAGGAATTAACACCTTTTTGGGGTTTCTATTCCTTCTCCTAGTCACATATCTCAACGAGATCATTTTTCACCCTGTGTAAATATTGCTGCCTCTGGCAAAAGACAAGCACATAATTGAATTCAAAGTTAGAGACAAATCATCTTAATATATCAAAGCCTGGGTTTGGCGCTGGAGCATGCATTGGTAGATGTTGCTGCTTAGCTGGCTGAAGCCAGACGGAATTCAGTTCGTTTCTGGGTTCTCCCTAAAAGCCAGGCTCCATGGTACACACCTATGGTCCCAGCTACTTAGGAAGCCAAGGTAGGAGGGCCGCAAAATACACTGAGACTCTTTCTGTAAAAGAAAAAAGAAAGAAAAGAGAAGACAAAAAGCAAACCTAAGCTCACTCCTACCATTTTTCAGGCTGCCATAGCCCATGGAATGGCGAATTTCTTTCAATGTAGATCCTTGCGCCCCCAGTTCCATCATTCCCATGGCAAGGGCAATGCTCAGTGGAGAGAAGAGAATATTTTCATCCTCTCCAGTGGCTCGGAGGTGGTTGTACATATTCACTGACAGCTCGGCAACAGTTTCTTCAGGGAAAGTGGCCCCCCAAGCCATGCCGTGCAGAACCAGCAGAGAGAAGAGTCCAAGGAAAGTCATGCTGCACTAGTTCCAAGCCTAGAAAAGAATAATTTGCATATTAATTATCTCAGAGACATAGAGTGAAAGGTAAGAATATAAGGCATTATTTCTTGGCAACGTTGTAAAGCAAACCAAAGGTTTTTAAAACCATACAGTATTAATATTTGTACAACAAAAGCCCCATGAAAGGATCTGTTAGGAGGCCCTAGTTTTTAAAATCCTGTTAGTAGCCAATGAACAAATAACATGGTTGAAGTCTAAAGATCCTCCCAAAAAGAGTGGTAGTCCTCACCTCCAGGAGGTAAGAGTATGTACAAAAATATACACAACAAAGAATTATAAACTATGCTTGCTGAGGATAATTTATCATTTTCATAACCTCACATTTACATTGATCATGATTTTTAGTGTCAGTTTTCCAGAGGACATGTGTACTCACTGGAGAGAGGGAGAGAGACAGAGAGAGAGAGAGAGCACTCCCCACGGGGCTGGTCACACTGTATTTCTTGTCCTCTGCACTGACTCTCCCTCCTCTTGGATTCTGGCCATGAGCTGGCCTGGCCATTTCTAACCAGCTTCCTTTAGCATTCACTAAACTCTGTAGATCCCGATCAACTCTAATGAAAATGAAAAGATACTTATGGGGCCGAAGACGAACGAGTGCAGTGAGCCATTTGAAAATGCGGTAAACCTGTTTACTGCCGTGTATAAAATTAACCCAGTTTGCATCTGCATTACCAACTGTTGAGAAGAGATCAGACACACACACGCAGTCACAGCTTACCCAGCCCAGGCTGCAAGGCCCCAGGAAGTGGTAACCCGGAGCAGGAGCAGACACTGCACATCCTGTGTGGCTGCCCTTCACACGCTGGTTCCCTGGGAGGCTGCTGCTCCCAGTGACAATCTTGGGGCAGAGAGGAGCCTTTCAATGCTCAGGTTTGTGCTATCATTTCAGCTCATACCAGCAAACTGGTGAGTCTACTTATTTGTACTCTGTTATTGTATGTATTTATTATGTACAACCTGATGTCTTAAAATATGTACACATTGTAGAATGGCTAACTCCAGCTAATTAACACATATACTCATATACCATTCTTCATGGAGAGCTGGTGATTAAATTTATTTATGGGGACCAGCAGTTAGCGTAATGGCTATGTCGCTGGACTCCCATGTAGTCGACTGCGGTTCGCGTCCTGGACCCGGTGGCTTAAACTCACGCCGGGTACGTGTGCGTGCGTGCCCAAGATCCTGAGAGGAGAATGGAGGAGAAGGGATTGTGGTATGGCCATCCCCCCTGGGGGGTGATTTCTTGGTTTCTATCTCTCTGTCTCTCTCTCTCTGCCTGGCAAGTGCATGTGCCCTATAGCAAAAACTTCTAAAAAAATTCACGTATTTATGTATGTATTTAAATAAGAGAGAGAGAGAGAAACATTTTCACAGAGTGCACCCATGCCGCAATCCTGCCCCATCTTTACTCTTAGCTGGGGTTAGAGGTCAGTGCCGCTGTGCCTGGGAAGTCCAAGTTGGTCTGAAAACCCAGATCTTCTATGTTCCAGCATCATAGCTGTGCCCTACTGCTTGCCTTACTGCTGTAGCTGGGCCAAATTTAAATGAAATTTCTAAATAGTAGGCTCACGGGATGGTGGAATCAAATTAAAGGGTATCATGGCCACATTTTCTCTTGTGAGCAGAAAGCAGTTTCCAGGCCCAGGTATCTCTGAGCACTGTCTGCCCTCAGCATGCTGGGATTTCAGAAGTCCGAGCCCTCACGAACAGCCTGACTCATACATGCTGGGCACAGCCTCCCTCTTCTCTGTCCTCTTCCACTTTGCCATCACAGGCATCTGTAAAACTAAGATGCTGATTCACACAAGATCATTTACTTATTCTTTATCCTTTTTATGTAAAAATTCAACATTAAAACAACATGGAAAGTGAGATTGAGCACACATATTTGGAAAACTGTGTTTTGATTTGGGTAGAGCATTGTCATTCTTCATTTCTCGATTAACCACGCGCACACACATTTAACTGCAGCAGGCTTTGTAGCTAGGAGACTCTAATCAGTCCTGTGTGGTTAAGAGCAATGTGCTTGCAGCAGGCTTTGGAGCTAGGAGACTCTAATCAGTCCTGTGTGGTTTTTAATTCTAGTTTCAGAGCACTGAAACTAGCCTGGTCACTTTGTAAGTCCTTCACATTTCTTTTTTTGTCCAATGACTTCCAAGGTTGGCTGCGTCTGTTTTGATATTAAAGTTTAGTTCATTCTCACTTGTTCAGGAAGGCTTGGCCCAGTCTCAGTGTAAATACGGACTCGCAACTTGTGTGTGGAGATGAAGTGCTTGCAGGGCAGGCTCAACTGCTCCTGCAGTGTAGGGACAAGACCCAGGTGTCAAGAGCCCAGCTGCCCTGCAGCCTCCCAACTCTAGCCACCACTGGGAGGCTGCAACGGGGCTTCCTCACTTCCTTTTACATTCTGAAGAACTCCGTGAAAAGGCGCAAGTAGGATAGATGGGGCTGTCTCTTGGTGGATTCAGAGAGAAAGTTAGCAGGTACTCTTTTAAGTTGGAAGAGAACGTAAAACATATCTGGTGTTGAATAGGTAGGCTGTAATACTGTTTAGTGGAACTGAAATCCAAGTCAGATTCAAAATCTGATGCTCTGAATTCCTACACTGTACTGCCTGGCATGCCATTCTAACTTCTGTCCTGTCAACAGCCAAGCCTGCGCCTCATTGCTGTCAACTAATGTTACCCAGAATACGATGAACTGAATTCACTATATGATAATTGTATCTGCCAGTCCATAACACAACTATTTGGAAACCACCGCCTTTAATGAATATAAAATTTCAGGCTAATAAAAAGATTTTGCTTAGGCTGGTCCGATGGCCTAGTGATTAAGGGAGCGTAATCCCACATGACCAGCTGTGCTTTAAATCCTGGCCCTAGCACCTTGAAAAACATGCCAGGTGTTGTACATATGTGCCCAAATCCTGACAGAAATGGACTGGCACGACCATGTCCCCACTGGCGGTGCTTACTCTCCGTTCCCCTCTGGAGAGCACACACACATGAATTGATATGAAACAAAACCCAACTGATTGTCAATCAATGCATATTCCAGAAAACAAAGCCAACTCTAATATATTCATACACATTTTTACTTACAAATGAATGTATCATGAGGTGGTAATAGCTGCCTACATTTACTGAGTATGTCTAAGGACAATCTGATTTAAACCTTACAACCACACTGTAAATAGGAACTCTTACTGTTCCCGTTTTGTAAATAGAAATGCAGCCTTAGGTTAAGAACTTGCTTAAGGTTGTATAGGAAATACTAGAGACGTACTGGAGCCCAAGACATCTTTTCAAGGCCTAAAAATGTAAACTACCTCTCCAGTCCTTAGAGACATGGGCAAATATGAGACATAGAGAACAAAGGCTTGGATCATGGTATCAGTCCTAAGTCTGATAAGCTCTATGACCTTTGGCAAAACATATGCATTTTCTCAGCCTTAACTTCCTTATTCATGAAATGCAAATTCTTACTTAGCAAAGTTATAAAGGAAATTGTTGAGAGAGAGAGTGGGTCCCCTAGCACTGTGGTTGAGCACTATACCTGGGGAGTAGATCCCACATGGCTGACTGTAGTTTGAATCCCAGTCCAGAGGCATAAAAAACACACACAGGCATGTATACATGTGTGCTTCAAATCCTGATAGGAGGAGGAGTGCAAGAAAAGGTCCCACTGGGAGGGGGCTTTCTCTCTCTATCTTTCTATGATGAGCACATGTGCATGCTGGCAATGAAAAAAAAATGAGTGTATACGTGTATATATATGAAGTTCTCACTTAAAGCTATGAGCCAAGGCAGGCATATCTGCTGAGTGAAATAGGAAGCTGTAGCGCCTAATGAGCATTTCATCTTTCCTTAAAAGAAGAAGACCAAGACCAGGTCCATGAAGAACATCCACACTTAGAAAGTAGAAGAGGGAAAGAAAAACCACCCCCCCCCTACTCTGCTGCTGGCAAGAAAAACACAAAAACAAAAACAAAACACTCACAAGTAGTTAGCAGTAGCTGAAGTGGAGTAGGCCAGGAGCCAGAGATGGGGTAGGTTAAGATTGGTAGAGATACCAGGAAGAAACCAAATATACAAGGATAGGTCTTTGTGCTCGAGGAACTCACATTATTGTGTAAGAGTACACAGTTTATCACAGAGACCTTAACTTTTTTTTAAAAAAGGTAATCCTTTCAAGAACCAAAAGAGAAGTAAATCATCTCTTTAGAAAATGCATCTACATGGATAGTAGAAAATTATATTCACTCGCTAGAATATTTACTGACCTTGGTTTAAGAACGCCTGGTTTCCAGCAGGTGGTCCAGATGCAGAAAGGAACAGGGTTTGGTGGACCTGCAGCTCTGTGGGTTCCCCTAAATGGGAAATGAGATGTGAAAACCACTAATGTATCTTCAGGCTTCTGGAAGACTCTTGGAAGAGCACCCTAATGTTTGTGGGAGAGGGCCCTTCCAGGACAGTGAGCTGCAAGTCACTGTTTACATGTTCTGCCAGAAATTAGAAGCAGTGTGGCCATGAATAGCAGGAGCTGGTCATGCCAAGAAACTTGCTAGTAAAGACAAAACATTTTGTTCTGGAAATATTTGCTTATCCTCAATTAAGTGATGTTTCCTCCTTTTGAAATTAAGATTTTCAGTTTGGAAGCAAAATTACCTCTGTCAGCCTGGTTCGGCTTCTCTGAGCCCACCTACCCCATCTCTGGCTCCTGGCCTACTCCACTTCAGCTACTGCTAACTACTTGTGAGTGTTTTGCTTTTGTTTTTGTGTTTTTCTTGCTAGTAGCAGAGTAGGGGGTGGTGGTTTTTCTTTCCCTCTTCTACTTTCTAAGTGTGGATGTTCTTCATGGACCTGGTCTTGGTCTTCCTCTTTTCTTTCACACCCACTATGAATTCTCAAAACAAAGATACTTCAAATGTTATGCCTGTTCAGATTATTCCCACATAGTACAATTTA